TAGTGTGTTCATGTGCTCTTAAGTTACAATGTCGAATAAACATGGATGCTACTACAAAGATGTGTTGGATTAGCATCATCACAGCATATAAACAACCCGCAGACATCTAGTTCTAGTGGCCATCTGGCAAACCAACCCAGTCTTACTCCCAAATAGTCATATATGGATGCTTGTTAAGTTCAGTTCAGTTTTCAATTACTAATAAATTACTGATTTTCATCCAGGAGCCCAGTCTTCGTTTCCTTTGTGAAACAAATGGTCAATGTTGATTCTTTTTACTACATAACTTACATATCTAACTTAAGATATGTAACTTAACTTATGTAATTAATGTTATTTTAACCACAGTCTTTTCCTAATCATAACCATAAAGGTTTGGTGCCTAAACCAAAACAAATTGCTTGACAATGTTAACCATGTACCATTTTACAACAATAACCACGTGTTTGTTTTTGTTTAAGTTTAAGCGGAATTATTATTGCTAACTTGACCATGGAGCCCTGCACATGCAAAAAGGACGCATGGGGTACCAGAGCGTTAAACCAAACATCCATATGTGACAAGTTGTTGGTGAATACCGGGACAAATCCCAGTGGGCTGTCAGAAAATCTATTTGGTCATTTTTACTGGCTTTCCAACCTTGTGTGTCTCATTACCGGTCCTCTCATTGTGCTAACTTCCGGTTTAGCCCTCCGCTAACATGAATGGGGATAAAATGATTTAATTGTGCAGTTCTTCTAGACTAGACTAGATTCTGTACTCATAAAAAATCATAAATAACAAGAAATTGCTTATCTTATTTGACTTTTTTGAAAATGCGTAAAATACCTGAGCACCTGAGTAAAATACATGTTTTTTTTAATCGTATTGATGTTAGGACATGTTTTCAGTTGTTTTCAGTAAGTAAGAATTAGTGCTGTTTCTATGAAAGATAATAGAGTAAGTAACAATAACAATTTTTGGAGTGTTATTTAGTTAAAACATGACACAAAATGTGATATATATTTTTTTTGTTGGTTAGGGTTGCAATGAATACATATATAATTCTGTTTTGCACAGAGACTGCAGCAGCTGAAAGTTGATTTAGTTTGGATATTGTACACTTAGAACAATGACAGCACACTAACACTAGCTCAGATAAAACTCCTGTCTGTGAGCTTCATGGTGCAACATCCTGGAACATCCTCCAGGTCTAGTTTACAGTTCTATCAGCAGCTTTTGCACATAATATAAAAGGTGAAAGACAGAACAGGAATGTGTCTCTGTTCTCCGGTTATACCAGTAAATATCAGTGTAGAAATTAAGCAACAGAAGACATTTGAAATAAAGATAGGGTAAAGGGTTTTGTGACTGACTGCATGATTGCAGTGACAAACATTAATGAGGTACATTTCATAATGTTTAATCCTGATAAAACCCAATAATCATGTTTTGTTATGTGACAGGTACATGTGACCAAGTTATAGCCTACAGCCTCTATAGCCTGTGTTAAACAAGCCTTTAGACCGGACCTATTGAAGTCACTGTATTGTGAACTGCAGCACAAACCTACAGATTCATAAACATTGAACACTCAGTTCTGAATAGATTTGGTTGAACAATAGTTGAGCTGGCATGATAACTACTGGGAGAGTTAACTATCTTGTACATAAATGTTGTGACATATGTACAGAAAACCTCAGTCATATTTTTGCTTTTCAAAAGTACTGATGACAAAACCTACTGCCTTATTTCTGTGTTATTGAAATAAGTGCGGCTTTGTATCTAAATTCAAGTGTTAGTATTGAAATATTCATAAATCACAGTACACAAATGGAGATGCAGTGTTAAGAGTAGCTTTATATCTTAACCAGAGCCCGACTGATTTATCGCTTTGCAGATATTATCGGCCGATATAAGCTACTTGCAAATGAATCTGCATCGCTGTTTATAACAGCAGCTATATGGCTATTAAAAAAGAGAAACAGAGTCGGATCCTTCTCATGTCATGAGTGCTGTATAGTTTGCCCACCAGAGGGCGCTCTGCAGCTCCTCTGTTAACAACACTGCAGCACAGTCGGCCAGAGCTACGGAGAGTAGCTCCTGGTAGCTCTCACACTCAGTGAGTTAGTCATTTGTCACGTTAATTACATGACTTAAATATTAATAAAAATAGCCCTCATCACACCTCTTACCATACCGTACATCCTGACCCCCCCGTTTTTTTACTGCCCTCTCCAGGCTCACACCAGCGGTGGTGGTTACGCTTCACAGTTCTAGTGAATGTTCCTCTTATTTCTCTCTAATTCATTACTCCTAAATATTCCTAAACATCACTTACAGCAGTTGATGCTTCAGGTTGCTAAATTAGCCAAATAAGCTAATGCCATGTTTGTCAGAGGGGCGCTAACTTTAATGCGCAGTTAAACTAAATTGTTTAACTAAATATATCTGCGAGCTGCTTGTCTTACAGCCGGTATGTCGGAAATGAGAGGGGACATGTAAATAAACATGAGCTGCCGCCGGCAAGCAAAAGTACTTCTTAAATGAGGTGAAATAATCTATAGAAGCTTCGAATACTAAAATCATCGTTAGCTGCAGCCCTAATGTGACCCTATAGATGGTTGTGGTATTCTACAATCCTCATTTCCAAAACATTAACATGTTACTGGCAGCTTTTTAAGTCTTTAACCCAAATTCTTCATGCCTAGTCCCTAATTCTCTTCTTTCTGTCTGTATAGACTTTCCTTGCATACTGTCTGTCTCTCTTTCTTAGTCTTTCCTTAAGTGCGTTTGGCAAAATCTGTATTGCGTGACACAACCACGTGACCGCACATTTCTCCTAGCTGTGTCCTTTTCTATGCACGTGTTGGCTGCCTACTAAATCAATATTGTATGAACAGCAGGGTGACCCGAGCTTGCACTAACACACCTGTGATTTGTCTATTATCTCAAGTCTAAAAGCCACTTGTTGTTTAGACTCTTATCTCCAAGCCCTTACACTTCAGTGTGCATCTCTGAAAAGGTTTACTTTCTTGGAGACGGATCAATTTAATTTCGAGTAATAGACTGAAATTGCATTTTGTTATTGTTGCCGCGTCTGCTGTCAGTGTCTGTGGAACAACGTCAATTCGACTTTAAGCCGACTGACATTTAGATGGCCTGCTGCGCAACCTTGTTTTTCTGCTGTCCTTCTGTGTGTATGTGTGTGTTCAAAAATCTAAATATTTAAAGCAGCGTTTATATCTGCTACGTTGTTTTTGTTCTTTGTAAGCGATCAAATCAGACCCTATTTCCAGACAGAGGAGGAGAAGGGATAGAAGAGGTTGTTTCCCTCTCATTATCTGTTGGTGCCTTGGCTTTACCTTGACCTGAGCGCACCACTGTTTTATTACAGGGCCTGTCTCTGTGCCAATTGGAAAGAATAAGAACAAAGCACAAAGTCAATTCAGCCGGAGAGGGACACAGGAAAGCGTGGGCGTACACACCATAACACAAGGGTATAGAGAACGTTCTTGTTTGTCTCTACCATTAGTCACTCCATGCAGAAGTGATTTAGTGTCTAAATTACAGGCTTGGCTCAATGTGAATCATCCGGCTACATCTTGTTCTGCTTTTACATAACAAAATGATTAAAAAAGATTAGACTCACCCCAAAAAAAAAAAGCCTCTCTATCCGTGACTCTAATCAGAAGTGGGGCTACGTACGATAAAACAAATTTCACCTCATGAAGTTCTAACTGTTGCAGAAGTTTTCCATCTTGCATGATTACATCCCAGGTCTGATGTTGATAAAACAGCCTATTACCATGTTTTTTCTTTTACCTGGTACACTGCCGATATCGTATTTTGACATTTGGCCTTCAGTACCGAGACTTTTTAGTTCCCTAGTTATAACATAATTGCTGAGTTATTTCTGTATCTTATTCATGTTCAGTTGTGCCTTTGACTCGGCAGTTACCTTGATAAAGGACTCACAGGTCTACAGCCACACTGGCATCCCTTAGAGACAGAACTTTACACTCCACAAAATGAAGCGCACTGATCATTTTGCCGTTTGTCGAGAGAGAGAGTCTCATGGCTACATGGTTTGTTATCAGGGTGGCCCTTAAAACAGTTATAATTGATATTTTTATAATGATTTATCAAGTGACAATGGGGTCTCTGGTAGTGATGAACCTACATAGAATTATAACTTCTAATCTGCAGCTCCTCTTGGCTTTTGAGCTTTATTGTTTAGCTGTTGGTCCACAACTTTACTGTTCTGGTTGCTTTCAGTGAAAAAAGCTCTTAATGCTATTAAACCCACTGTACACCACCTGACCAGCACACAGACTAGTTAGAGACTAGCAATTGAACATAGTGTCGCATTTAGCAACTAAAGAGCCCGATATTTCCCTCAGGAGTTGGTAGAGCTAATATAGAGTGAGTATAGGATTTACATTCACCCTGCTAATATCATTTAAAGACAGACTGGAACAAAATGTAAACTTCAACGGGCACTTGAATTTCATTAAAAAGTGCTTGGAAATAATGCATCTTCTGTGGTGTCCTTATGTTGCCTAGAAACTATTTCTGCCTAAACAGTTTGAAAAGGATATCCATCACATTGCTGAAATAATGATTCTTTTTAAGATTAGGTGCATAAAGTTTGCCTAAGAACAGGGAAACAAGATACAACATTTCAATCAGGAACGTAACACCTGTTAGTGCAGAGTGGGAATGACTCAGCGCTATACGCTGCTTTGTGTTTCTCGGAAAATGTGTGATTTGACCTTTTCTATCCTTCTTTCTCCGTCGTCTCCTCATTACACTCTTCCTCAAACTTTTTCAGTAACTTCTTCCCACCACACAGCCCCCCTCTTGCTTGTTTCTCTACTGTTGCTTGTCCTAGCTTTAAAAGAACTGTTCTGAAAAATGTCTGTACACCAACAAATGATTTTGTACACAACCACATGATTTCAGAGACGCAGACGATGCACATCTCTCTCTCTCTTTCAACCTTTGTCTTTTCTTTGCAGCATGCAAGTGTAACAGCCATGCCAACGTGTGCCACGTCAACACAGGGAAGTGCTTCTGTACAACTAAGGGCATCAAGGGAGACCAGTGTCAACTGTGAGTATACTATCATGAAACTGCAGTATGGATAAACACCCACACTACCCCTATTTTACTGGACCTCGATCATTAGGTGATCCCCAATTGAATAATAAAAAGATATGAAGAGAACAGAACACTAAAGACACAACATAAACCTGGCTGTACAATGATGTCCAAATATGGCAGCTCACGCAGAAGATGCTTCAGCACGACACTGAATGTGTTTAAGCAGCACTTTTTGGGAGGTTTGACTATAAAATTAAGTTTTGGTTGTCAGTATAGAAAGAATAATAAGAAAATGTGTGTGTGGAAACATTGTGTGTGTGTGTTTTGCCCTGACTGTGCCAGACTAGACCTCAGTAGCACTACAATATCCTAAATGGCTTGGCGGGCCAACACACCACGGAGACGGACTAAAAATTGCTGCGTCAATGAATCTAGCAGGCGATGCTAGAAAGCAGAGACGAAGGGTATGCGGGTGTGAGAGTGGGGGGCATACAGTATGATGAGGCAAGACAACTGAAGCAATCAGTTTTTGATCTCTTTGTTTAAACTTAGGGCTGTAACGCTTCTGAAACCAAGACCGAAATCACGCCACAAAGGTCCACGGTCTCGAGTATGTTAAGCCTAAAATTAGGGAAACTCTTGAGTTTTCTGTTTCAGAGAGCGAGATCAGATAATCCCCAGATCAGTAACTCCGGCAACTGATTCTGTGAACCTAACCTCCTACGTCAGTTTCTCCCCTCCTGCGATGCCTCACAGTTTCATTTCCTCATTCATTGTGTTGATATCAAAGCACATATCTGAACGCATTTACATCTTCAAAAACTTTAAAATCCCGGTTAAATAGGCTTAGTTTTTTACCCAAGCATGATCTTGAACATGACTGCTTTTATGATAAATCTGTCATCGATGTATGGACAGATCTTCGCACATTGTGGATTTATCCTCAGCACAGAATAAAATCTATGTCCGTCTTTACGTAGGCTATAACGCTGTGACTCTGTGGACAGTTGCACTGAAAACACTTACTGTGGGCTACATTACTGCAGTAATCACTGTTTAATATGGAACCTGTAAAACTGATGAATGAACAGTAATCTTTCATATTCTATGTAGGCTAGTCGCACTTATTGGAACATTCCTATCGCTGTTATCAAACTGGAGATAGTGTGACTATTTGTGAGTGAGGATGACTGTGGTGCAGCTAAAAAAAATAGGCCTAAATAAGGTTTAAATGTGATTTTTTTCATTATTAGCTGCTGATAGTCTGAATGTGTTTTGACAGCATTAATAAAATACGAAATGAGGTTATTAATGTAAAATAGACGTCTAAAACTTTAACACATTTTCCACTGCAAAAAAAATAATTAATAGGCTAACGTGACTGTGACTCTACAATCACAGGTTCACGAGTAAACTGTGTCTTAAATTTGATCTATAGCCTACCTATTTTCATAATCAGGTAGCCACCGGCATTTTGTCCCGTCGGGTTACAGCTTAATAAATATGTAATGACAATATGTAATGAATGTAATGGGCTGTAAAAAAAAAAAAAAAGTCCAGTCTGGTAAATGATGAATGAGCAAAGCTGTGTAGTAGCCTAATAATATTAACGCTTTGATCCTTCTTCCACTCCTGCGTTTTAGAGCCTGTCGTTGGCAGCATTCATATTTCTAGCTCCACCCGATTTAAAATGGAGGCTCTGCCTTTATTTACCCGTTGCCATGGTGAATCGTAGTATCGGAGCTCCATTGAGGATGGCTTTTTGTCATCCGTACGCACACGCTTAAATCGGGCTCAACAAACTCAAGAGTTGATTGAACTGATTCTGATCAGCTGTTGGGATAAACTCAGAGTTTGTTAAGCCTGCTTTCTGAACCAGGGCCCTGGTCTCTCATGGCAAACACGCCGGCTTGCTCTGTCTCTATTTCCTTGGATGTGTCTCTGCTGACTTTCTCCATCAGCAGTATGTTTCATAAAGTCACCACTTAATACCAGTTAACATCTCTCTCTCTTTTCTCTGCAAGATGCTAATGTGGGTTGCCAAATATACTTTGGCAGGTGCAAATATACCTGGCCAGCCCGCTCATGTAAAGCATATGTCGAAAACACTGTATTTAACGTTAGCTGTCGGCTTACAGGTAAATATTACACCTTCAACCAATTTTATTGTCTTCCAACTGCGTGTGTCACGTGACTATTTTTGCATATCTTATAGATCACTGATTATAAATACCACACAACTCCCATTGTGTGATAGTACAGTTATTAATTTATGTATTTAGAGTCAGATATAATTTCTCAGTGCTCTTTCTGGAAGTCGTTACCTCAGTAGAGAGAGCGTTAGATTTCACTTTGTTACATCTAATTGTTTGAGTTTGATTAGTTTCTTTCATTTGCAGAACAATCAAACATTGGGGGAAAACTCTCTAGAATCCAGTACATATAAATTCCACACATTTTGTGAACAAAAGCTGTAGGATTGTCAAGCCTATACGATGTAATGCTTTGCCATGTGGATTGATTAAGTATCCTGCTCAAACTTTAACCCTGGTTTGTTTTTCTTAAATGCATACCTTGTATCGATTGGCCTATAGTACCTCACAAAAGTGAGTACACCCCAAACATTTTTGTAAATATTTGATTATATCTTTTCATGTGACAACACTGAAGAAATGACTACAATGTAATGTCTTTGCTACAATGTAAAGATGAAAAGATGTAATCAAATATTTGCAAAAATGTGAGGGGTGGACTCACTTTTGTGAGATAGTGTATCTACACTATATTTGTCTTATGAATATGAGCTGTTATTGTCAGAGAGACGATACACAGCTCAGCAGTATAAATTGAATCGGTTTAAGAGTTCCTTTGTGCTTGTGTCAGCTGGAATTTTAAACAGTAGCCCAAAACAAGCAGATGTTGCAGAGGCTGTACTAAAGTGCACCACAACCTGATTGATTCCTCATAGTGTGCATCTTTATTTCTATTGTATTTTTGTGTACTCTAGAATGTTTTTCTCTTCTGTGTGCTGGTGTATTTACGCTGATGGGTCTAGATTGAGCCCATGTAAAATTTCCCCCATTGGGACAAAGTATCGATCTGTCTATCGACGTCTTTCACTTTTAATATTAGACATGCTGAAACTGATGCAGTGTGTTACACCAGTAAAACTGATTTGGCTAGTTAAGAGTTACAAGTAGATTTTAAATATTGTAGCCATCCTGACACACACACACATCTTGAATCACACCTGCTACCAATTATATAAATTTTCTGACCCTTAACTTAAACTTTGCCTTTCACCACTTCTTGCTTTACGCTAATCTTAACATAACCTTGAAGTGAATCTAACCTTCAACTCATCTCCTGACATTAGCATGGCTCCATCTGTGGCGTCCGGTAACATGCCACCTCACCCTCACACTAAAAGACTCTCTCCACATGTTTACCGACAACTTTAATCAATGTATTGCACAAGATGAGTAATTTGACTTTTAAGCTATTTATGTTGGTATCAAACCCAGGGAATATATTTGCTTAGTTCCAGACCTTTATATTGCAGCTCACTTGTTTGATTTTGCAGCTAATCAAATGGCTCTGGTGTTGTGGACACTAATGGCTGTTTTCCCGATTGGGAAAATCACTGAGCCACAAACTACTTTGCAGGCGGGATAAGGGATGAGCACATCATCTTCTTGTGCCAGATAAAATTGAAACAGAACAGTTTGCATGAAAATGGCTGACAGAGCTATACATATTGTTGTAAGTTAACTTATAGTAAGAACTATTTAACTGACACATATGTCTTAATGAATTATGAAGTCATTTTATCATGCAAGTAACATATTGGCAAATCTGGAACAATAGGTAGCTGCAGTTGAGTGTGAATGTTAGCCTTGCAGCCCCTAGTACTCCTGTTCACTTGGCATTTGTGTCAGTTTTTTATGCGTAATGTTTCGTTTCAACGCTCACAAAAATTCATTATTCTGGTGGAGACTCCACAGACACTGAAAGCAGAAATGGTGTATTTGTGTGTGATCACTTGTGCATCCCTAAGCCACTGTGCTGCAGTCACTTTCACCTGATTTGCTCTGACATGCATCTCTCTCTCTCTCTCTCTCTCTCTCTCTGTCTGTGTCAGATGTCTCTCTGTCACAGTGCTTTTTGTTTTGCTTGAGTCAATTCAAAATGGTGTGCCAAGTAGAGAGCCATTTCTTTGTCGTTTTGATTATGAACGAGCAATTTCCCCCCGGGGGCGGATGGTAAGCACACTGAGGTAACAGCAGGTGTGTGGATGCATATTTTTGTCTGTGTGTGTGGATGAGTGGATGCTCTGTGCAAACGCACAAACACTAAGAGTCAGAAATGATGGCGCCATTACGTAAAGCAGTTTTTGTTTCTTTTTTTTTGCTTTTGTATATCTTTTATTGTGTGTATGCTCATGAAAATATTGTCTCTGTCTATCGGACTGGATATGTGTGTCTTTGTCTTTCATCTTCATTCAAAGAAAATTAGCCCATTTCTTTCTTTCTTTGTCTGTCCCTCTTCACTGTTTGTTTGTCCTTTTGCTAAGTCAGTGCCTCACAATATTCCTCCCCTCGCATCAACCATAATCACATCAGGACCTTAATGTTGTAGACACAGACAAATATACACACTTTGACAACCACAAGTGCACAGATTATTATTGGCATTACGGGCTTAATATTATAACAGACCTGAGTTTCAGTACTATGCTTTGTTTCAGCCCGACTTGGAAAATTATATATGTTTTTCCCTATTTAAAAAAAGAAGCCAAAGTTCTGTATTGCTAATGTTGTCTAAACCAGTGGTCCGTAATAGTTTTTAATCCACAGCACCCCTTTATATTGTTCCTCTTTGCTGGCAAAATAGTGGTGTTTTGTCTTGAGCTCTTGGCACCGTTGCTACATTTGACAGTTTTTCACTGTAGATGAGGCATTTCATAATGTTACTTCTTTTGTTCCTCCCAAACCTTTGCTTGACTATGATAAC